CGTCATAGACCCCCGAGGCGGTCGCGGCGGCGTTGGAAGATTCTGCCCCGACAGAACAGATGAATTGGACGGCGTTTCCGCGCGTTGATGAATTACGCCTCCGCCGACCCCCTTTAGCGCGCATATTGTTGCACCCCCGATATCCCCACGCGGAGTCGCGACTCCTGTGCCGACGGGGCTCAGGGGGCAGTGCCATCCATGATTTAGCTCTTCTTCCCCCACGCAGGTGGCTGAGCCGAAGGCGGCATCGATGCGCGGCGGGCCGCGCCATGCCAGGCTCTTACACTGGCCAGCCAGAGCGACGAGCTGCATGATATACCGAAGCGAAATGCGGCCGTTCGCGTTCCCGCCTGCACAGGAGTGGACCATTGGACGAACGCCACACCTTGGCTTTCTCATAGAACATAAGCGGTAAAGAGACGAATGCAGCGATCTCCGCGCCCCTGCGGAATCCACTCTGGACGCGGCGGCCCCCCGGCCAGTAGGGGCACGCAAGTAAAAATTGACGCTCCTGTCTTACCTTATCGAGGCGGTTCCGCCGGGGGTTATGAAGTGCGCGGCAGGAGAGGGGATGTCTGTCATTGTTGTGCCATGAACGAAATGCAATACATCCGTCAGAGTAGTGATCTCTCGGCTCTCGGCATAAGCTTTCCAAGCCCGAAGAACAGGGTCTGGAGTGGCCATTGGCGGCGCTGACATGGAGCCCATCATCTTCAGGGCGAATCACTGGATCACCGCGCTTGGTCGGGCTTCCGCGGCATAGCTCTTTGAGCTTCAAGCGTCTCTCTCGTTCGCCTGAGCAGCCCACCACCTCCGCAGCCAGAGCCGCAACCGATGCGATGTAGCCCATGTCTGGCTCACGAGGGCCCATCTACACCACGACCGTGGAGAAGCCCCCCCCGCCGCGTCCGCGCGCGAGGCTTCCCGCGAGAGAGGCCCAGCTATCCACAGTGCCAAAGGTCGGGCAGTCGCGGACTTCCCGTCGCGTCGATCCGCGCCGCCAGCGTGGCGAAACGGGCGGCGGCGCAGCACCTGGAGAATCCATTGGCTCATATGTACAAGGTCCTCACGACCAGGGTGGGCCCGCGCGTTGTTCTCCGCGAGCGGGCCCCCCTCTCACGATAATATCATGGGCAGTTTCCTGCGAGGGGGGTCACGCACACGCTGCAGGTTTCTCTCTGCCTCGGTGCGGCAAGGCCCTGCGCGCTGGAACGCGCGCATGGAAACGTGGCATCCGCCCGCCGCCCACGCTGCGCGTCCCCCCCCAGCGCCCCCGCCCGCGCCCCCTCCAGCGTCGGGGGAATTAGCGGCGCGGCGGAGATCCCGGCGGTCAGTTCTGGGATGCCCCCCCGAGAGGGGTGGTGCCTTTGGGGGAAGCGGCTTGGCCTGAGGCTCACTCCCTGCGGCAGAGGAGGACGCCGCACCGTGGGAGACGGCCCGCCTAGGCCCCCTGCTGGTAGCGCCTCGCAGATATGGCCTCCAGCCCTCGATGAGCACCTTGATCCTGGGGCCCCCGGGACTGGAGGGCCACCGCCTCTTGCGGCACAAAGGCGGACGCGCCGCCGAACTAGGCGGCGGCGGCGGCCACCTGAGGCCCCTTTGAGCGTGCGCACGCGTCAGCAGGAGGTGGCTTCGGTGTCTGTTCCAAGTTAGGCTTCTCCTTTCTCGCATCCGAACCTGCGGACTTGGCTCGGTACTTCCCAGTAGGCAGCATGATCTCCTCCGCAGCATCCGACTCCGAGTCGTCGGCCTCGTCGGTGCGCTCGAAAAAAAACGGGGGAAATGCCAGCTGGATCCCCAGCGCCTTTGGAGCGCTCATCTGCCTCCCTCTCCTTGCTGACGCGCCACTTGTCCTGGCTGACCGCCCGCTGGGTCGAGCCAGTCGAGCTGGGGGGCGATGCCGGCGCAGCCCCCAAGGATGAGGCCGCGCCTGGGGCAATTGTAGCATTTCCGCTCTGTTCGGCACCGGCTCGCCGTCTTCGGTCTCTTCGGCGCCCCTTCCACCCCCTTTCAGCGTCTCTGCCTTCGTCCTCAACACTTGAATGAGATTGGAGGTTGTACCTCCTCAACTCGTGGACGTCGGAGAATCGGCCCATTGCCGGGCGATGGCGGCATGCTCCGTCTCGTTGCAGGCGACGCGGCGGGCCCCTGAGGGCATAGGCCGGACAGCGTCACCCCTCGATTGGGGGCCGGCTCTCCCCCGACCATGGGGCAGTTTGTGCAATGATCTTGCCATCCATGGCATGCGCATATAAGGTAGTTGCTGCGCAGAGCAACGCGTTCCCGCCTGGCCTTCCGATCGGCCCGGCGCTGGCGGGCGCGTAGTTCAGCGGGGAATCGGATGATTCTGCCCCCCGCTTCGCGCTCGCACCTCTGAACGGCGCGCCAACGACGGACCTGGGCTTCAGTCCAGCCTCGGCCGATACGGTCGCCCATGTCCGCGCGAGAGATAGGGGGTCCGCGTGGACCTCCCCAATCGGGCGGCGCCCCCGCAGGGCCGCGAGAACGGGCCCGCGGGACGCGGCATGTCATATAGGTAGGCGTTGGAACTGGTCATGCCTCAACCAACGCACATGACATCTTCGGGCGCAATGTTGGTCGAAAGCCCGACTCGCTACCTCGGCGCGCTCCCACTCATCGCGTCCGCCCCCGTCGGCATGACTGACTCTGCGAACGGCGTATCTGCAGGCGTTTCCGCAATTTTGGGCAAGCCTGCGTTCTGTAGCTCTGCCTACGTGGCCGGGGTCACCTCAGTTTCGGGGACCTCCCCGTCGCATGCCGATGCGTCTCCGCCAAAGTCGGGGACACGCGTCGGCAAACGCATGAGCCGTCAGCTCACGGTGAAACTGAACGCAGGGCCCCTGGTGAAAGGAGACCGAGGTCGTGCCAATCGACGAACACCACGTCCTCAATCGTTTCTTGTGCCGTTGAAAGGGCAGCGTTGTCTCCGTTCCCCTGCCCCACAGAATCACGCTGGCTCTGAAAAAAATGATCGCTGCCACAGCGGTTGCGCTATCCCGTCCAAGATGGCCCCCGAGGCTCCCAAGGGTGCCCCAAAACGGCTCGAAGAGGTGCCCAGGAGGCCCTGGGGGGGCTCCAAGAGAGTAAGAGATCCCCAGGAGGTCCCCAAGAGGCTCCAAAGAGAGAGGCACCCAAGACGCCCCAAGAGGCCTCGGCGAGAAGACTAACTTCACTGATGGCACTGAAGAGTTGGCCCTGTTTGGCCTTCTGGGGGGGGGGGCGAATTAATTGACGACCCCCCTCCTTCGATCTTCTCCAAGATGGCCACCGAGGCTCGCAAGGGTGCCCCAAGACGGCCCAAGAGGTGACCAGGAGGCCCGAAGAGGCCCCCAAGAGGCCCCCAAGAGGCTCCCAGGAGACCGCCAAGAGACCCCCAGAGGCCCCCCCAGTGGCACCCAAGACGCCCCAGGAGGCCTCGGCGAGAGAGCCAAAGTCACTGATGTTACGCAGGTGCTGGCCACCTTTTGGCCTTATGGGGGGACCCTGATGTCTGACGGCCCCTCCTCGAGTCGATCTCCGCCAAGATGGCCCCAAGATGCTCCTCAGGCTTCCAAGGGTGCCCAAAAGACGGCCCCGAGAGGTGCCCAGGAGGCCCCAGCAGGCCCCTAAGAAGTTCCCAAGATGCCCCAAGAGGCAAGAGACCCCCCCCCCCGAGGCCCCAAGAGGCCTCCCAGAAATACCCAAGACGCCCCAAGAGGCTCCCGGGACTGCCAAGAGGCCCCCAAGACAACTCCCGAAAACTCTCGGAAAAAACTCGAACAGACTCCGAGAGGCATCCAAAAAGCTTTCGGCACTTCTGCCCGCCCTCCTCATCCTCCACTTCCTCATCCTCCTTCCTCCTCCCGCCTCCCCCTCCCCAACCCCCTCTCCCTACTGCTCATCCGATTCATCCTCTGTCCTCCCCATGTCAGGGTATGACATCCTACACAACCCTTTATCTACTGCATGCTCTTCCACATCCTTGATCAAGGCAACTCGTCTGAGCATCGTTCCTGGATAGACTGGTGGGGTTGCGTTTCGCATCGGTGGGGATCGTCTTCCTCCTCCTCCTCCTCCTCCTCCTCCTCCTCCTCCTCCTCCTCCTCCTCCTCCTCCTCTTGCGCATCCTCTCCTCCTACTCCTCCTCCTCCTCTTGCGCATCCTCTCCTCCGTTCCCCTCTGGAGACGTGAAAGACCCATCATGGGCCTAGCAGCCCGCTCTCGGGCCCAGGAACTTCCCGTGGACCCCATGCAGGCTGGGGCTCGGCGGCGCCTGGAAAGCCCACTGCAGCAGGGAGGTTGAGGGCCAGAGCCTTCGGGGGCGACCCAGAGGGGGGTGATGACTGGGGGGGGGGGGAGATCATGGCGTGGGCCATGATGGTTCCTCAGATTTCATGGCGCCCCTTCTTCTTTCATTACGTCCCTGGGTCCCCCCCTGGGCCGCGCACATGCCGCCAGCCATGATTTGCACCCCCCCTCTTGGACGCCCCCCTCTTGGCCGCCCCCGAAGCCTGGATGAGCACCAGAAGCGGGATCAGCAGGAAACAGCCGGAAACAGCAGCAGCAGCAGCAGCAAGAACAGCAGCAGCAAGAACAGCGGAAAGGGCCAGCGGGCGAAACGCCGCGCAAAGCAAACGGTTTCGCTATCGGGGGCATTTGCCTCTGGGCGGCTACGAAGTTTACACCCCCACGACGGCGCGTAGAGCTAGAAGCTGTGGATGCGCCTTGGGGCAGGCCTCCCCGGGAGCGGGAGAGCATATGCTATTATTACGACTTTCCGCCCGCCAGAGGGGATGACGACGGGGCGAAAAAAGAAGGACGCGAATTCAGGGCTGGACCTAAACATTTTTGTAGTTCGTTTTGTGTTCGTTTTAATTTCCCTTCTGCTCTGCCTGTTTTCCCGTACCTCCCTGCCAAAACCAAGAACAAAACCCAGCCGAAGTCCAGCAAAACAGCGTTTAGGTCCAGCCCTGCGCGAAATGCCCGCGGCAGCGCGCTGCCTGGCGCTCCGCATCCCCGGAGTCAGCCCCTGGCGGGCCGCACGGGCAGCCGCTCCCCGCCCCGCGCCCACGCCTGCTGGGCGAGGTTCGGTTCCGACGCAGAGGCCGACCGGACCTGCCAGGTCAACGTCTTCTTCTTCTTCTTCTTCTTCTTCTTCTTCTTCTTCTTCTTCGGCGTTTCGACATTGGGCGGAAAGGGGGGTCGGGTGTTGCCAGAAGTGCCCCTGGCCCAAGGTGCCCCCAGCTTTTCGCTTCAGTTTGAAGCCTCTGGGGCCCTCTTGACCTCGTGAGGGGTGCTCTGGAGGCCGTCTGGGCCACCCCAAGAGTCCTGGGGGCACCTTGGGGCACTTCTGGCAACACCAGAGGGGGGGGAAGGGGGGGTCTGGCTCCGGACCTCTGCTCAGTGCGACTGTTTGCTTCACCTGCTCGAAACAGGCGCCAAAAACAGCCAGCATCTACTCCATGGGGGGGAGGAGGGGGGCGAGGGCCCGCGCCGATCGGCAAAACAAGAAATACAAAAAACGATCACCAGAGGCTCGCTCTTTCCAATCAGCGGGCAAATCGATGGGCCGTCCTGAGGCTCGTGGCAGCGCTCGATGGGTGAGCCTCCGACGCAGAGGCTGGCCAGACTGCCCTGGCAGATGCGGTTCTTCCGATCGGCGGGCCGACCGATGGGCCGTCCAGGGGCTCGAGACAGCGCCCAGTGGGCGAGCTCCCGACCCAAACCGACGTCGGCAGTCGGAGTGGAATCGAGTCAGGACCGAAGCCCTCAAGATCGAATCTGCTCGAGACGACAGACTCGAGATGGCTCCTGGAAGAGCTCCCCGGGGGTGTGCCCTCGAGTCTCCCTTCCTTTCTGGGCGGCCTGCTTCTTCCGGGGAAGATCGGGGACCCTGGGCGAGAAAGCGCCTGCGGGCAGCGGCTCGCTCTCTTTCCGACCGGCGGGGGCCGATCCCCTCAAGCCGCTCGGGGGCTCGGGGCGAAGCGCCCGACGGGTGAGCTTCCAACACGCAGAGGCCGACTGGACTGCCCTGAGGTGGCGACATCCGAACCCTACCCCCGCCAAACATCGATTCTCCTGAATCGATGAGGGGCGGGGGTAGGGTTCGGATCTCGCCACGTGCTCCGCGAACTCCGGACCCTACCCCCGCTGCCCCTCGAGCTGCCGGAATCGCTGATCGGCGAGGCTGGGGTTCGGACTTCGCCGCCGGGCCCTGGCAGAGGCTCACCTCCTCCTCGTCCTCGTCCTCGTCCTCCTCCTCCTCCTCCTCCTCCTCCTCCTCCTCCGACCAGCGGGCCAACCAGCCCACGAGCCGCTCGGCGGGGACGCGCGCTCACCCGGGTGCACTGGTCGGCCTGGGCCCCCCGCTGCGAAGCACGGCCAGCCGCTCGGCAGCTGCCACACCAGGGCCGCTGGAGGAGGGCGGAGCAGAGGGAGGCGGCCCCACGCGGGAGAGCCCATAATCGAATCGCCAAGTCGGATCGGCGATCGACGTGAATCGGATCGGCGGGGATCGGCAGCCAAGTCGGGGGGAGTCGAATCGGCGGAGATCGGCAGAGTAGTGGGGCCTCATGGAGATATCGGAATCCGCCACCCCCTGTCGATTCATCGCAGGGGTGCCTGGCGTGCTGGACTTCTTACGGTTTGTTTTGGTTCTTTTTCCAAGAGAACTCCCATGGCGCTTCAGCCCGTCCCGCCGGGGTCCCAGGAGGGAACTCCAGGCGCGCAAACGACCTCAACGTCCACAAAAAATTCTCCAAGACGGCTCAAGATGGCCTCCAAGATGCCTCCAAGACGGCCAAGACGGCCCCACGATGCCTCCAAGACGGCCCATGCATTCAAGACAGCCTAAGATAGCCTCAAGATGGCCCAAGACGGTCGAAGAGGGCTCTAAGAGGCCTCCAAGACGGCCCAAAACCTCCAAGAGGTCCTCCAAGAGGGCCCGAAGAGGCCAACATCGTTGGTTTTCCTTAGGTTTTTGCAGGATTTTGGCATTTGCTTCTTCTCGGCATTCCGGCGGCTCAAGACGACCCAAGAGGTCCCTAAGATCGCCCCAAGATCGCCCACGAGGCCTCCAAGATGGCCCGAGACGGCCCAAGAAGCCCCCAAGACGGCCCCAAGAGGGCCCCAAGCTGGGCCAAGACGCCTCCAAGACGGCCAAAATGGCCCGCCGAGACGGCCCTGGGGCACCCCAGGAGGGCCCCAAGTCGGCCCAAAGAGGCCCACCAAACGGCTTCCGACGGCGTCAGACGGGCCAGGAGCCCACCAAGATGGCCGAAGTTGGCTCGAAGCTGGCCCAAAACGGCCCAAGAGGCCTCCAAGAGGGCTTCCAGGAAGGCCAGAAGAGGTCAAAAACATTGACGTTCCAGTGGTTTTTGAAGGATTGGACATTTGCTTCGTTTCGGCCTTCTGACGGCCCGAGACGGCCCAAGAGCCCCCAAAGATCGCCCAAGAGGCCTCCAAGATGGCCACAAAACGGCCCAAGAGGCCCCCAAGACGTCCCCAAGAGGCCCTCAAGACGGCCCAGGAGGCCTGTAAGACGCCCAAGATGGCCTCCAAGACGGCCCTGGAGCATTCCAAGAGGGCCCCAAGTCGGCTCAGGGAGGCCCCCCAAACGGCTCCGACGGCATCAGACGGGCCAGGAGCCCACAATAACGGCCGAAGATGGCCCTAAGATGCCCCAAGACGGCCCAAGAGGCCTCCAAAAGGGCCTCCAGGAAGGCCCGAAAGGGCCCAAATCATTGATGTCCCATGAGTTTTTGAAAGATTGTGACATTTGCTCTTTTGATTCGGCCTTCCGACGGCCCGAGACGGCCCCCAAAGATCGCTCAAGAGGCCCAAGACGGCCCCAAGAGGCCCCCACGACGGCCGAAGAGGCCTCCAAGAAGCTCAAGATGGCCTCCAAGACGGCCTCCAAGACGTCCTTCTAGAAGGCCCGAAAGGGAACTGGCCTTCAGGCGGCCAAGATGACCTTCAAGATGCCCACGTGTTCCCCGAAGGCTTTCCGAACCCATCGGGGAACACATGGTCAGTTAGCTTGGCAGGTCTGGCCTCAACGTTCGGCCACATAGGCGCTTCCACAAAGGCAGGGGGCGGCGGTGATTCACCGTAGGCGTTTTCGATCCAAATCGGAATCCGAAGTCAAATGGAATCGGAATCGGAATCCGCCGAAATCGAATCGAATCGACTACGAGGAATCGAAACGAGCCCTGCCCACGTGGCCCCCAAGCCCGGGTCGGCCAGAGGGGACTTGCGGACCCCCGGCAGCGCTGGCCCGCCCGCCAATGGCGCGGCCGCCGCTGCCCAGCGGCCGGCCACGCGATCGTCGCCGCAGGTGAACCGAGCACCGATCGTCCCGGCTGCGAGGCTGCGCGGGCTCGGGCGCGGACACTGGGCGCTGCGAACTGTAGGGGCGATGCGTAGACTCTTCGGGCCCCACGAGGAGCCCCTTCAGGGCCTCTGTGAGGTGCACAGAAGGTGCACCTTTCTTCAGCCCCTGGTGTATCGCCCCCCCCCTTGCGCAGCGACCGATCGGGGAGGAGGATCGGCGGACCGTGGGCGGCCGATGCTCCTCATGCTCCTCCTGCTGCTCATGCTCATGCTTCTCTTACCCCCTCTGTTGTATTGCCCTCCATTGCGCAACGCCCAAGGTCTGGCAAGCTGCCTCACAGGAGGGCATCGGGTGCCTGCACAGATGCACGCGTGCAGCCATGCTGCTGGACGTGCGAAGCTGACCCCGACCGAACACACGCTCCACCTGTCTTGGAACAGCAGTCGGGATTGAGTGCAGAGTGCAGACGAGGGGGCACAAGTCTCTTCCGAGGAGCAACCCATGCACCAAACGCGAGGGGGACACGAAACCCAATAGACTGGAAAAGATACGACGCCCCCCCCTGGGACTCCTCTTCCCCTGGGCTCCAGCCAAGCCGACCTTGAGCAACCTCGTAATTGAGTCGAAGGGAAGCCCCTTCCCTTTGATCCCTCCCCCGCCGGGAGGGGGGGGGGGTAGCGACCCCCCCCCCGGGTCAGATACGACGCCCCCCCCTGGGACTCCTCTTCCCCTGGGCTCCAGCCAAGCCGACCTTGAGCAACCTCGTAATTGAGTCGAAGGGAAGCCCCTTCCCTTTGATCCCTCCCCCGCCGGGAGGGGGGGGGGGTAGCGACCCCCCCCCCGGGTCAGATACGACGCCCCCCCCTGGGACTCCTCTTCCCCTGGGCTCCAGCCAAGCCGACCTTGAGCAACCTCGTAATTGAGTCGAAGGGAAGCCCCTTCCCTTTCATTCCTCCCCCGCCGGGAGGGGGGGGGGGGTAGCGGGGGGGGTAGCGACCCCCCCCCGAGTCAGATACGACGCCCCCCCCCCGTACCGACCTTGAGCAACGTCGTCATTGAGTCGAAGGGAAGCCCCTTCCCTTTCCCTTCCCCGACGGGGGGGGGAGAGGAGGTCCCGGGGGGGGTCCCGGGGGAGTCCCGGGGAAGTCCCGGGTCAGATACGACACCTCCCTCCCCCACCTTCTCGTCCTTCTCCCCGTTCCCCCAAACCATCCCACAGCCCGTGCCTCTTGCTGCGCATTGCGAACAGGGTCGGCGGCACCGGCCGTCAGGCCTTCGCAATAGACTGGATACCAGGGTACCCGTGATGATGCAGGGTCGCCCTGCTAAATCAGACCCGACTGCGTCAAGAACTGTGCCCCCCCTATGCCCGCATAGATCTAAAGCACCACCAGAGCAACCGTGCGATCTCTTCGAACCATTCCAGCAGGCGCAACAACGATATGCAAACGACCTCCCGTGGAGAAACTCTCCTCCAGCGCGATTACCTGTGGAAACACGCCTTTCCCAAGAGCCGTCGCAGGAAACCGGGATCATGGAGTGGGGCTTGGATGTTCTTCTTCGCGCACCACGATGCGCGATCGCTGCTGCTTCCGTCGCTCCTCCTCTTCGAGACTGTTGTCTTACTACTTCCGGTAACGGTCGTGACCTGGGGTGGGGGGCGGGTACCGGTAACGCTTGGGCGGGGTGGGGCGCGT